TTTTTTAACTGAACCTCTAACTTTACCAATCACGATGTTGTACTTCAGGGATTGATCCCTCCTGCTAACACGTTCAAAGTATCTGAGACAAAGTTTTGCCATTCTGACTATACTTCTTCCGAGACAGTCTTGTTTATTTTTCTGGAGTCCATGGTATATTTTACATTATTCATGAACAGTGTAATTCAAAGGCATCAATTCTTTTTTTTAAAAAAATTAATTGTCTAGCTTCTGCATGCGTATGAAGCAATTGAAAATACCATGGTGTGGGTCAGGAACACTACCGTTCTCAAAGTGACAAATTATTTTACACTTTACGGTGGTCTTCTACAGCATATCTTCCCAATGCAATATGCCATTTCATTTCTTGACTGCTGCTATTGATTATGGATCTAAGTAAAATGGTAACTTGACAGTTTCAATCTTTTCTCTGTTTATCATCATGTTGCTTATTCATTCAGTTGTAAAGATTTTTTGTTTTCTTTACATTGAGATGTAATCCATACTCAATGCTGCAGTATTTAATCTTCATCAGTAAGTGCTCCAAGTCCTCTTGGTTTTTATCAAGCAAGGTTGGGACATCTACAGCCTACAATCCTATACAGCATTCTTCTTTATATAGTTAAGTGACAGTCCTGATGTACACCTTTCCTGATTTTAAACCACGCAGTAACCTCTTGCTATACAATGACCGTCTCTCTGGCCTATATAAATCTCAGTGTTCTGGAGTGTCCATTCTTTTCAATGTTATCAATAAATTACAGGGAAACATCAATCTGGTATTCTCTGCTTTCAGCTAATATCCATCTGCCATCAGCAATGCTATCTTTTGTTTCATGAGCTCTTATGAATCCAGATTGAATTTCTGGCAGTTTACTTTCGATGTACTACTATTGCACTACTTTTGAATTATCTTCAGCAAAATTTAATTGCGTACCATATGACTGCTATTATTTGGTTATTTCCACATATCTTTGGATCACCTTTCTCTGGGATGAGCAAAAAACATGGATCTTTTCCAGTTGGTTGATCAGGTAACTATCTTCCAAATATATGGATGAGCACTTCTAGCATTACACTAGTTTGCTGAAACATGTCACCTGTTGCAATATACAAAACATTCTTAATATTTAAATGTGAACTATCATAATGAAATGTACGAAGACCTGGCATTAGAAAATCAAAAAGAAAGAACATGCTTAACATTCCTCAAGCTGTAAGAACTGAAGAAAACCTTCAAGCCTTGAGTAGTAATATTGAAGGATTCTATGGACAAAATTAAGCCATCAAGTGTTCCCATGTTCTGTTCGAACAACTGCCTCTTGGTCCTTGGTCCAGGTACAGTTTCCTCATGAGCACAATTAAGTGTTCCGGAATATTCATACTTCGCAATGTTGTCCATAGCTTGTCAAGATCCACACAATCAAAAGCCTTTGGGTAGTCAATAAAGCACAGGTAAACTTCTTTCTGATATTCTCTGCTTTCAGCCAAGATCCATTGGACATCAGAAATGATATCCGTCATTCCACAGCCTCTTCTGAATTCGGCTTGAACCTCTGGAAGTTCTCTATCATTGTATGCTTGCAGCCATTTCTGTATTACCTTTAGTAAAGCTTTATTTGCATGGGATATCAAAGAGATTGTCCAATGATTTCCACATTCCTCTGAGTCACTTCTCTTTGGAATGGCCATAAATACGTAATATCTTCCAATCAGTTGGCCAGATAGTTGTCTTCCAAATTTCTTGGCAGAGATGAGTGAGTGCCTCCTGTGCCGCCTGACTTTTAAAAAAGATTTCCATTTTTATTCCATCAATTCCTGGTGCCTTGTTCTTTGCCAATTCCTTAAATGCACCTTGGATTTCCTCCTTCAGTATCATGGCTCTTGATCATATGCTACCTCTTGAAACGGCTGAACATTAACCATTTCCTTTTGGTACAGTGACTCTGTATAGTCCTTCTATCTTCTCTTGATGCTTTCTGCATCATTCAATAATTTGCCCAGAGAAGCTTTCAATAATCAAAGTCGAGGCTTGAATTTTTCTTCAGTTCCCCCAGCTTGAGAAATGCTGAGCATGTTTTTCCTTTTTGTTTTCTGATTCCAGATCTTTGCACTTTTTGTTGTAATATTTGGATTTATCTTCTCGAGCTGATTTTTGAAATTTTCTGTTCAGCTCTTGGACCTCCTCATTTCTTCCATTTGCTTTAGTATCTCTATGCTGGCGAGCAAGTGTCAGTGTCTCTTTGACATCCATTTTGACCTTTTCCTTCTTTCTTGTCTTCTAAATGACTTTTTGGTTTCTTCATGTATGATGTTCTTGATGTCATCCCACAACTCTTCTGGTCTTTGGTCTTTAGTGTTTAATGTATCAAATCTGTTCTTCAGATGACCTCTAAATTCAGGTGGGATA